TCATTTGGTTTTTACTCCTTGTTTTTTGCCTAGTTCAGTAAATGCCTGTTCTTACTCCTGGTAATTGCGTGGTATCCTCTTGTTCCCCCAAGATAACGAACACAGAGACTGCCGAGCCCAGCTCAAGCAAACGTTTACAGAAGTAAAAAACATGCACTGCGTTATTTCAATCTGCCTGATTTTTTAGTCAACAAAATCATTATTTTTTTAATGCACAAGCATCCCACTGCTCACTTTGTCACCTCAAAGTGCTCCAGTGTGGGAAATATTGCTTGGCGAATCCCAGTTACAGTCTGCTCATCACAAAGCCCAGACTCTGAAGAATTTAGAATATATGGGCTTATGTACTTCACTTCGCACGGTATGCATTAAAAATATTAATTCAATATATATATTTTGTTTGTGTGAAGAGGAAGTCATAATTTACTCATAGGTTGCTCAGAATTTGTTAATCACTGTTTTAATTGCTACTGCCAATAAGTAATTGTGTTGATCATTTTAAAGCCAAGGCATATCTGATACTTTTAAAATGCCTCTTGTGCAACACAGCTTGCTTTAATACAAAACATTTTACTCAAGACATCCCATTTGTGCTCAAGAAAACCCCCAGAAACCATTAGGTTTAAAACCCAAAAGGAACTGAACATCTGCTTCTCCAGAAATCGTGAAGGATACAAGGATAACCCATTTTCTCTGTGTTTGTCTTACTGTTGCTAATTTAAAAAAAATATTTTGCCTAAGCCATGTTGTATATTGTCTTTTAAATACCATATGTACGTTTTCCTCTGTATGCAAACCTCCATAGTCAGAAGGAGGTTCTGATGTGACAATTTTCATTTTCTTAAATGCTTTTGATGGTAGTGGTGAGGTTGCAGCACTTTTCTAGTAATAATATTTCCTTATTAATCATGTTCATTTATTTATCATAACACTATGTCTTGATCAGCCAAAAATCTCAAAGCGGAATAGTGGCTGGAAAGATAATAAACTACGCTTGGTGCTATTTCTGAAAGTCAGACCTTGCTGTGTCACAAGGTATTCTTTTCATTCAGGATTTTGATTACTTTTCACAGCATTATCATAGTTGCTGCGGTTAGTATTTGTGCTTTGATGTATTAAGAGTAATAATTTCCCATGTCTCTTGTATCTTAAAAACACATAAAATTGTTTTCTTAGACAACTTGAATACCCCGGTGCACCTTTGGAGTGGAAATCACTTTGATTTCTGTTCAATATGCAATGATAAATTCAGTTTGTATGAATACGGTAATCTGATCATTTTTATAGTTGTTTTTTAAATATATGGTGGGAGTTGTTATGGGCTGTGGTCTTTATTTTCCTCCATGTCAGTAGCATAAACCTTAGATAACCTGTCTGCTCTGCATAACTCATATGTAAAGTGGTAAAAATGGGAAAACAAACAACCATGTAGTTTATCTAAAAGACAAAAATGGAACTTGGTAGATCATTCTGATATATGCCATTGCTTTATGTAGTAACAGATTCTCTGGCCTAGATCCCATTCAAATCAAAACAAATAAAATCGAACATTGCAGACAGCTTGCAGGCATGCAAATAACTGACACCAGATGATTATAAAAATGCTAAATCAGTCACGTTGCTGTTATGTGTATATAAACATGGGAGTGTAGTCACTATGACTCTGTTTCATGTAAAGCAATTTCATCAGCTTGAAGTTTAGTGTTGTTTATAAGACTGTGGTCTGTTAAGAAATACATTTGTAGCCAATTTGTGCTCGAATAGCAATAAGGACAGTTCTATTTTGGCACTGATCAGATGATTGCAACTTTTCAACTAAGTGTTAAAGAATGTAGAGTATGGTTCTCATTTGATGGTGAAAACTACTAATTCTTAGTTCTAAAATATTCTGACTGTTTCATTTGAAAGATACAAGAGATATGAGGAATATGATTCTTTTAGAGTACTATGTTTATGTTTGAGGTGAAAGTATGGATCAGTTACAAACAAAAAATTGTTTTCATTTCTTATTTACAAGATGGTAACTTGAAGTAAAAGAAATACCAGCTAAAAAGGGAATTTTGAAACAAGACCAAGCAATACTTTTGCATGAGGTGGCAAGCTGTGCTACACTAGAGTTATGCCTTTTTGACTGCCTTTAACTGCTCAAGTGAGGTTTACCACTTTTGCCTGTCTCCTTAAAAGGAAATGGTGGAAGTTAACCAAGCCATTCTCGGAAATAAAGCACACACTGTACTTATTGGTATTTAAAATGTGATTCAGCCAATTAAAGAACACGCTCTTACTTATGTGTTATGTAAATAGAAAGTTGTTCTCTTTTTAGCAGTGTTGCTTAGTGATCTGAATGGGAGCTTTGCAGTTAAGTGACATTTACCTATCCAGTTATTGAAATGAGCATACAGTTCAGGTCTTGCATAATAAAAATGAAACTAAATGTATAAAGCAAAGGAAAAAGTAATAGGTTTATTCCATGAAAAGAGAAGAAAGAAAACAGAACGTTTTGGCCGTGGAGCCTTCTTCAGGTGTGAGGCTGAGCTAAATGTACATAGGTAACAAATGATCAGACTAGATTACTGAACTCAATATGATTCACAGAGCTCTAAGACATATCAGTGTTTTACATTGTCATTGTTAGTAAAAGGTCAGGAAACAAGACAAGACTGCAATATTATTTTTGTTACTCAGTGTTCTTGTGTATTCTGAATTCATTGTTCTCAGGTATATTTACTGTGCTGGTTACATGTGCAAAAAAGGGTTCAATATGCACTTTTCTTATTAGTATCTTATTAGGCAATCAACACTATTCCTGCTAGCTCACTGTAACTAAGCATGATTGTTTGTGTAGACTGATCCTTTTAGATTTTGTTCTGTCCATGGGGTCTTATTTGTTCATAGAGCGTCAAATCTCTTTTTCATGTTTAGTATTGCATTGTCATTTTCTGTTAACTGTTGAGATACTGATCATTTTCATTGGCTCTTCACAGTGTCACGTCTTTAGAATGTAGAATAAGATGGATGTTCAGAAAATGAGGGTCTGCTGTCTGTTACACCTGTTGTTATAGTTTGTTAGTAGCTTCTTGTTATATGCTTCCTGCTTTCTTCCTGCACTTCAGGCACTTCCAGGTGAATGTTTATTTTGTTTCTGTTTAGGTGTTTTGTTTCTGTGTTTTCCTTCAGAAATACCTGTCTTGTATTGTACAGTTTCTCTAAAAGGTTTTCACCTCAGGTGACCTTGACACTTCGGCTTTGCCCGTTATAGCCTACTTTAACCTCTGCAGCCAGAGCACCTGACTTACACATGCAGTGTCCTAGGTATTCACCCAAATAATAGTAGCCTATTTTCCAAGCTTCTAAGGCACCCACCCTTTTAATCATTTGTAGTAGAAAAGTGTGTTCACAGTTGTGCGCAACAGCTGTGATACGACACAAAGAGAATTGAGTACAATTTGCACCACATAGACATACACAAAAATCCAATGCAAACACAATAATCTAGCTATTGGTACCGCATAGCTATTGCAGTACTAATTTACAAAATGTCTTTAGTGGAAGTTAATTTTTAGAATGTCTAATGAAGAGTTTGATTAAATTCAAAGACTGAATATGTGGTGCTAAATAAAGCTGAAATTAAAACTGATCACTGAATGTGTGCCAATGACAAAATGTTGTATATTAGAAAGTCCACAGTTGTTTTCTGTGGTTCTGTGGTTAATGGTTATTCTGCAGAAAAGCTACTGCAAAATCCCTAGTAAAATGTGGAGACCAAATGATAGAAATTTCAGTCAAACCATGAATAAAACCTGTTTACAAATCAAATACACAGAAAACATGTGAGTCGCACCTAACCATGATACTTAGTTTTCCTATGTGTGTTGGTCTGGCACTTCCTGCGACACCTACTGTATGTCAGTCCAGTGGGTCTTACGGCTTTGGAAAACCTGGTCACAGTCAGCAAGTGGCATAGCCCAGATTCAAACCGGGAATTTGGGGAAAATATGGGCGGAGCTGTGGCTCTGTGGCTAAGGATCTGCACCTGTGGCTGGAAGGTTGCCGGTTCAAATCCCGCAGCCGGCAGAGGAATCCTACTCCATTGGGCCCCTGAGCAAGGCCCAACTGCCCCAGGGGTGCTGTACAATGGCTGACCCTGCGCTCTGACCCCATGCTCTCTCCCTGTCTGTGTGTCTCATGGAGAGCACGCTGGGGTATGTGAAAAGACAAATTCCTAATGCAAGAAATTGTAAAGGGTTAATAAAGTGATGTTATTATTATTAAAACCTGCAAACAATATAACTCCCTAAATTGGTAGATGGACTGAATCCTTTGTAACCTCCTGTGTGTTCTTATTCACTCCTCACACACACGTTGAAAGGTTGAGCCACATGGGAGCACGGAAGTGTATTAAACATGCAAGGAAGCTTGGGAGTGTTCGGAAAAACAATGCCGCACTCAATACCCAGTTTTTTTTTTATTTTCACTTAACAGTGATCCAAAACACATTCATGCAAGAGAGTTTTTTTTCCTCTACACAAGCAGTAAGTCCTCGAATGACCTCGTCCAGGCATTTTCTTGAAATTGTTTTTGGAAGGGAAAGCTGTTGTGACTGATTTCAGCAGGACATGGAAAGTAGCTCGGCTTAGTAGGGCTATATACACAATATGTCTGCCTCCCTTACACTTAATAAAACCACTTTTGACTTGGGTATATACTGATACAGTGTGCAAAATATACAGAAAAAACTCAGGTCATTTTTTTTCTTAATCCAGGAAAGAATGCGTCTTTTCCTGTCTGCACAGGTTGTCAAAGGTTGCTGTTAGAGCTTGTATTAGGAGTTATTAATATCCTTTCGGTAACATGCTACGCTTTGTGGAACTGTAAGGAAATTAAGCCATTAAATGTATTTTCTTCCCCTTCTGTACTTGTTTGTTTTTAGCCAGGAGTCCCTCCACAGTGTGGTATGCTCAGACGCATTTAATGTGACATTTGTTGTTTTCTCTTTGAAGTTGAACAAGTGCCCGTGGAGCCATACCAGACCCCGCTGTCTCAAGCCGAGGTGCTGCGAGAGGGAAGTGATGTTACACTGGTCGCCTGGGGGACACAGGTCAGTGTCACGTGTCTGAACTGCACATGGGGCCCATTAATGGAACTGCAGAAATATGTCTTTGGGGCCTCACTGGGATAGAAAACAGAAAGGAGAGGCCTGCCTGCTGTGTTAAGTACTGTGACATTTATGCTTATAGGGAGGAAGTATGAATTATCGTTAACTCCATTAAAGTTAACTTTGCTGGATTTCCATCTGGTGGCTTTAGACCCAGCAGGATGTGCTGCTCAGTAAAATGAACTCTACAGTCATTTCTGATAACATTTTATAAATACAGCTACTGGATTAGGGTGTTTCTTTTTCATCCAGTGCCTCACAGAGTAATTCTTTGAGTTCTGGCTATGTTGCCTTTGTTATGTGTTTTTCTTCGATAGAGGATTCACAGCTGGGCACAAGGTGGCTATGACAAAACACCACTGCTATTAGTTTTCCATATAAAAATAGCATTGGTGGTACCTGTTTTGAACTGGTGGTGAATCAGAGAAGTATAATGTCGCAGCATTATTCTAGCCAAGATCTACTGCTAACAAGACTTACAGATAATGCTCTTTTCAATTTTTAAATTGGCGAAGATAAAATGTATTACTCTAGCCCTGTGTGATAGAGAGACTTTACAATGGCTTTTGCCCACATTATATTTTTCTCTCTTCTCCATGTTGTTGTCAGTGAATGTGAAATGTGACTTTCATTTCTGAACTAAACTGATACCAACAGAATGTGAATACCAGCAACGAAAACTACATCCCTGTCCATCATATGCCTTAGGGTCTTCTGGTCTTAAGATAAATTGCTAGGAGATGGTATCTTATTGTCTGCTACGGTATATAGTAATTACTGATTTGAAGTATTATTACATTTGAATTACAATGACACAGAGAATAGTTTCTTAGGTAACAATTATTATGCCTGTTGGTCCATTGTCTCTGTAGCGTGTACTCTCATTACAACCTAAGAAACTTGAAGCTTTCTTGATCATCTCTGGGAGAGATCCTTATCAAGGGCAACATATTTTAAGGACCTGCTCATGAGATCTGATGAGATACAATCTAATGGGGCGGAGCGGTGGCTCTGTGGCTAAGGATCTGCCCCTGTGGCTGGAAGGTTGCCAGTTCGTATCCCACGGCCGGCAGAGGAATCCTACTCCCCTGGGCCCCTGAGCAAGGCCCTTAACCCCAACTGCTCCAGGGGAGCCGTATAAATGGCTGACCCTGCGCTCTGACACCAAGCATCTCTCTCCCTGTCTGTGTGTCTCATGGAGAGCAAGCTGGGGTATGTGAAAAGACAAATTCCTAATACAAGAAATTGTCTATGGCCAATAAAGTGATCTCATCATCTGACATGGTATATCTCCTCTAGCGTTTAAGTTTCATACACCAGGCTTTCACTGTTTTGTGTCTTCTGCAGACTTTTGTCTTACCCGTAACTTTACTGGTCTCCAACCTAAGTACGTTGGTCTCTGGCTTTCCTCTGCTTATATACTGGGAAATCAGTTTGAGAGAATTTCCCAATATCTCGCGAGAAATTGGATTGCACTGCTTCATTTGCTGGAGTGATAATGCACTGTTCAGGGTTCTCATTTCAGCTTTTAATCTCTCTATTGTCCTGCTTTGTCACAACTCAGAAAATAAAAAAAAATCTCAGTCGTATTTGAGAGCCCTAGTTCTGAGCCTGAGAAAGGAAACGTGGGGCTGCTCGATCCAAAAGTGGTTTCTTTTTTCACTTCATTTTGTCTTGTGCACTGCCCTTCTTTGAGACTCCCTGATGTGTGACAAACCTACTGGCATGTTCACTCTGAATAACTCTTAGTGGAATGAGTATTGTAATAAATAATTCCATAATAAATTTGTACTCCATTAAAAAATCCTATTCTCTTCTTGAAATTTACACATGTAATAAAATATAAAACCATACACTTAAAAAAAAACCCGAGATAAGTGTTGAAGTGCCACATTATGACAAATTGTACAGGATATCATCTTAGATGGAGATACCATTTACTATTTCATGACAGTAGTATATTTTGAAATGGAAGTTCCACTTTTCTGTTTTTCCCAAATGAGTGTTACTGTAGATATTTATTTTCAGAAAGATATAAACATCTTTGCAGTCAGAATTAAATAATTTAATTATTCTAGAAGAAATGATTGTATGCACAATGTTTTACTAATGTGTTATTTGAGAGTTTGATTTGAAATGTCAGTTATATACATTGTACATTTAAATGAATGGACATTTTCTTGCTCTGTACATTTGAGAAAGATTGCAGTTTCCATACAGTGTAGTTTTGAAATGTGTGTCATTTAGCTTATCTTTTGCGTTAGAGTTTTATTAAATACTGTACATTTGTCAGTTTCATTGACTTCTCAGCAGATATAAATATATCAGTTGCTTATCTAGTTTGCTATAGTGTTTTTTCCATGCATTTTAAATTTGCTGTAATCCCTCAGAGGCAACAGCAAGTAGAAGATAAAGACTTATCTACAGGGCAACTTTACATAGTGTTTATCATAATGATGTTTTTCATTCATTTCTAGAGTATATGAAGCAGGCTTTTTTCAGTCTACGAGATAATGTATCTAATCTGTGATGCTGAAAATGATTATAGTTACCTCCCTTCTTTGGATGAAGCTGCTGGCATTCTTAATCATTTTAATTAGTTTTGTAATAGAACTTTTTACAGAGGTTAATACATTGTAAACCCAAGTATGCTTACCGTTAGTTGTCTTGTACAATGAGGGACACCTGCTGCTTGCAGTGGTGTATTCATTTTACTGGCTTTCATAATCCAAGAGAAATACACTTCAGATCATTCTTTCATTAATCACAAATGCATATAACATACACTTGGTAATTTTAAATATGTGTAAATATGGGTTTGATGGTGTTGCCCAGTGGTTCTCAAACTTTTTGGACCAAGTACCACCACTGATCAAATCAAAGCATCCAAGTACCACCTAAAAGTCATCTTCTCATAGGACCCCCAGAAATTCTCAATGACCAACATGAGTGCGTGTGCACTCACACACTCACATACACATATAATAAATATTATAATCAACTTTATTTGATATAGCACCTTTAAAGGTGACTTTTCAAAGCGCTTTACAGAAAAAAAACAGGAACAACAATTAAAAATAGACAATAATAAAGCACCATTTCAGTGGGGTGAGCCTGTTTAGTCGAGCAAAGCAGATGTGAATTTATTTTTCCTGCCTTGATACAATTCACAACAGAGTCTAACAGATTTTTAATCAACAATTTTCTTGACAGCAAAGGTCTCGTTGTGGATGTTGCAATGCGTCCATTCATTTCTGGAGCAACCCCTCTAATTCGTGCAACTACACCAGTGTGTCGGCTTGTCATTGCTCTAGCACCGTCTGTACAAACTCCAACACATTTTTTCCAGTTGATGCCATTCTCTTTGATAAATTCATTCAGAAGCTGAAATATGTGCTCTCCTGTAGTTCCTGTTGGTAGCAATTTACAGAAAAAAAAGTCCTCATGGGACATGCCTCAAACTCATATCTAACGTAAACGAGCAAATTGGCCAAATCAAAGGCATCTACAGACTCATCTAATTGCAGTGAAAAGCAGCTGCTCATTTTAATGCGCTCTATCAGCGTACTTTTGATATCATCCGCTATATTAATAATTCTATGAGTGGCCTTTCAGAGGGGGGCAGCAGGTCGAGCTGTTTAGCAGCTTTTTCTCCACAAGCAATATGTGTCAGCTCTTTTCCCAGCGGTAAATAAGGTTCTTCAAAAATAGTATGGGGCTTACCCGTTTTAGCAATCCACAAGCTCGTATTTTTCCCCGTTTCCGTGTCAGGAGTCCGTCTCAGAAGTTAAAATAAGTTTTTATTTCACGAGCATGGGAGCGAAACAGAGACGCTCCCATGCTCAAATTAACCTAGAACAGTTCTTTAATATTTTTCTGTTATCTATTCCTGTGCTCGCAATTGCCAGCATTCGTAGCACACATTTCTATGCTTTCCTGTGCTTATAACATTGGCATTGTTCCAAAATCACGCATATTCTCCTATGTCCATATTTCCAGGAGATATGTTTTTTTTAAATACAATTGGTCACTTAAGTTCATAGCATGCATTCCTATACAATGGTATTGAATTACATTGTAGCTCTTGTGTCCACTCAAGTATTGGCGCGCGCTGTATCGTAGTACGCAGGCTGCGTATTCGACACGTATTAAAATAGAAAATATGAAAACCCATCCCGAATTTTCAGTGTACACAATAAAGTTCCAGGGTCATATGGTGTACCACCTGGCGTTTGAGAACAACTGGTGTAGCCTGTTCAAAACCCCTCTCAAAATTCAAACTTTTTTCTTATATCCAGGAATGAAACTTCTTGATCTTACATGCAAAATAAAACTTGCGAGGAATCGCTATTTTCTACTGCGAAAGTATGAATTTTGAATGTTCAAGTTCAAGTTTATTGTCATTATACTCTGTAGCGGCGAGGCTTATTAATAAGAAAGAATTAAGTGTTCTGAGCTTTCCCAAATGAGGCCTCATCTCTCTGTTCATCTCTGTGGAGCAGCCACAGAGAAGCTATTCATGCAGGCTGATTTAAAGATGTTTTCTTTTGATAAGGGACAGCTCCCAAATGGGGATGCACTTAGCTAAGCCTGGCTGTCATGATTAATGGTCATCCATTGGCGCCTATCTGTCTAGGGAATGCTAGATGGACATCTGGACGGCATTCCTAAGTGTCAGGAGTAAGTGACTCATATCTCACCTTGATCAACCAATCAGGGACTGGTAGGGCCGAGTAACCCACGTGGGACTCTGATGCCCAT